GCCGTCGGGCATCCCGGCGCGGCCTGGACGGCGGGCCCGGGCTCTGGGACCCACCGGGTCGGTACGAGGGGTGGGGGCGGCTTGCTGCGGGGAAAGTCCAAAGCGTGTGGCGCCGGCGCCAGGCGTGGAGGAAGCTGTGCTCACGGTCTAATCCGAAACCCGCCGTGGCCTGGCTGCTCTGCGCAGGGCCGCCTTTCTGTTTCTTCTACATGTTGGAGTCGACTCCCGGCAGGTTAGCTTGCCCGCAGCCTCCCTCCGACCTGACGGCTTTGAAATGTCAACCAATCAGTTCCGTGGTCCTTGCGCCCAGTCATTCGATGGAGCCGTAGTGAATGAGAGATAAAGTTCACTTTCCACCCGAGCATGCAGCCCCTTCAGATGTCTGTTTAGCTTTCCAGCCTCATACCCCATTATCTGGCAATATAGGCATTGAACTCTGGGGTGTCATTTTTTTTTTTTTCACTAAGACATAGCTTCTATTACTCTCTTTCGAAGAAATGAGGCCCAGGTTTACCACCTGCCCTTACACCTAGGACCATATCAGCTTAAGCAATGTGTCCCTTGTCTGTTGAATTCTCCACTTTATTAACCTTTCTCATTCCTGCTCTACTTGGAATGTCCTTCCCTTCACTCTTTCCCAATTTTTCTTCTACGACTTGAGGCTTTTCAACTTATTTTTGCCTTGCCCATCTGATTTACTCTCATTCTCTGTATTTGTTCCTCAAAAACTTACTTGTTGTCCATCCCTTTCTCCCACCCCACACTCGGCGCCTCTTCCAGTTACTTTATAATCTCTGCCCCTCTCCTCCAGCTGCTAGATTCCGAGTTCTTAAGACAGACTTGGCTTTCACCTTTATTGTGGTGTTCTGGCATCTAATATATATATATAGTTCCTGGTTCATAGTGTTAGTTGAATGATGGTGTGGAACAAACGGCTTAAAAGTTAGAAGATATTTCTTAAATTATGATTATTTATTTTAATGATCCTATTTTCTTTTCACAGGAGTTACATAAAGTTCAGAAGCCATGGTGAGTTCATGACACATTTCATTTAACTTTTGCCTGTTGAACGCCATGACTTGTTCGAAGCTAGCAGACTGACTTGAGAAGTGAAGCAGAGGCAGGTGGGGGCGTAGAATGCTGTTTCCCACCCCCAACTAAGCACCAGGAGACAGCTGTGGATCTGTGGGCTTCCAGAATTTGGCTTACTTCAACCATAGGCATCATCTCTATGTTTTTCCTTTGCAGTCTCGAAGATATGACTCCAGGACCACAATATTTTCTCCAGAAGGTAAATTAGAAAATTTAACCTGCGCCAAAGAGATTTTCTTTTTGTTTATTTTTTAAATGTTATACTTTTAGTGTGGGGGGAGCCTCGCATGTATTTTGGTGTTCATTCTTTCTGTACTTTGAAATAACTGTTCTCACTAAGTTGATTACAGCATATATCATTGAATGGTAAAAGTAGGGCTGTTGACTGTACCCTGCTAGTGTCTGCTGGTTTCTCTCGGATTGGTGCTATAAGAACACAGAGGAATGTTGGTGTTTCACTGTTTTGTAGGTCGTTTGTACCAAGTGGAGTATGCCATGGAAGCTATTGGACATGCGGGCACCTGTTTGGGGATTTTAGCCAATGATGGAGTTCTGCTTGCAGCAGAGAGGCGCAACATCCACAAACTTCTTGACGAAGTCTTTTTTTCTGAAAAAATTTATAAACTTAATGAGTAAGTGAGATCTTAGGGAAGTGTTTGAACTATTTCAGTTTTCAACATAAGTGGGATTTGCATATAGGGAAAGGAGTCTTCTATGTGAGATACTAGAATTGAAGAGAGGGGTTTTATTTTTTTTCTTGTGAAAATTTGTGTATTTGTTTTATTTTTCTTGAAACCTCCTTGAAGCGCATTTATTGTATTGTGTCTCAGTGTGTCCAGTATGAATGTGTTCACTTTGAGTGCAAAGCTAAACAGTGCAAAGTAGCGTTGTGCCGTAATAAAGGCATGAACTTACTGGTCACACGGATTTGGTTTAAAATTCAAAGTCAGTCAATATAAAATGTGATGTCACACCAGTTATTTAACTTCTTGGGGACTCAGAGTGGTTGTAGAAATCTGATAGAACAAAGTAAATGAGTGAGATAAACTAACGAAATGCCTAGCACAAAGCAGGCCCTAAAGGCATTGGTTAGAATGACTATGTAGGAATTTTGTAGAATTATACTGACTCTTTACCAAAGAACAATTCAGCCACACAGTACAGTCTAGTTTCTGTTCAGTTTGAGTTCTTGGAACTTTGTTGTTAGTGGAAGATTGCCTGTGCTACATAGAGACTTTGCCTTGTGGGGTAGGCCTGATGAATACTTGTTACTGGGGCCTATCTAATTATTTAATACAATTTTGAACACATACACCATGCATTCTGATCACTCTCACATCCTATCCCTGCCATTCCTGTCTCCCTTTGCCTTCCCCACAAATCTCTTTCTTACATATATGTCTGTCTGTTTTGATTTGCTGACATTACCACGGCCATCTGTGTGACCATGGTTTGAGAACAATCTGTTAGAGTCTGGTGGGCTCAGCAGTGGGTATATAACCAAGGACAGTGATTCTTCCTTTCCCAGAATCTACAAATAACCATGAGTTCCAACATAAAGGTAGGGTCCTATGAGCCCCTTCTTGACTGATTATTTGTAAGGTTGTGAGTCTTTTTCTGCCCCGCCAGCCAGGTTGCAAATAATGACACGGAAACTTCTTATTAATTATGAAAGCTTGTCCTATAGCTTAGGCTTGTTCTTTCCCTCTTACATTGGTCTTTTTTTTTTTCTTTCAAGGGACATGGCTTGCAGTGTGGCAGGCATCACGTCGGATGCTAATGTTCTGACTAACGAACTAAGGCTCATTGCTCAAAGGTATGGATGGAAATAGTGTAACACACAGCACATGAGTCAGATGTCTCCAAGGAAAGCTTGCTTTTGCAGAATTTAAAGTTTTGAAAATCCATTAATTGAACAGTATATTCTACCTAATCAAACGTATAAAATACTGTGTAGATTGGAGAATACTAGGATGCTGATGTTTTTGCCTCCTTCCTCTTCAAATTATAAGTGACTGCTGCATTTACCCCCATTATATGTATGTCTTTTCAGAGGGCATTTCCCTGCATTGTATATATTTTTGAGAAGCCTGTTAATTTGTCAATCTCTTTACCTTAGGTATTTATTACAGTACCAGGAGCCAATTCCGTGTGAGCAGTTGGTTACAGCGTTGTGCGATATCAAACAGGCTTATACACAGTTTGGAGGTACTGAGTTTCTTTGGAAATACTCTGAAAACTTAAAACATTTTGTGGGGGATAAAATAAACTTTTTGCTTTTTTATTTTTGTTCTGTGTTGA